CCATGTATTTTCAAACTTTCTCCTTACTTAAGAGCCTCATGGCGCAATGATTAAACTGCTGTACTGCAGCCAAAACTATGCTCACAGCCCGGGGTTCAATCCCAGGTAGCTGGTTCAAGGTTGACTCAGCCTTCTATCCTTCCAAGGTTGGTAAAATGAGTACCCAGCTCATGGGTGTGTGTGTAATGTGTAGCTTGCATAATTCACTTGTAAACTGCACAAAGAGTACTTGAAGTGCTATGGGGTTATATATAAGCAGCACACTTTGCTTTGCTTACTTGCCTGTGTACTCTCCTCTTGGTGTGCCATTCTCATCTTAATAGCTTTATGTTGTTGCCACTTGTAACTTTCATTACCATCCAGGATGTATTTCCAAAAACTGAATATCAGAGTTCCAACCACTATTCAGATGTCTGCCACAAATGGAGTCCAGGTATTCGGCTTTCTGATTTATAACCTTACATTTATCCTAGATCAGATCCAGTTATTTCTTTGCTGAGATTTTTCTAAAGACCTCTGTTTCAGACTGTCCCTATATGGACAAGAATGATTCCTAATTTTTTTTAGCCACTAGCAAATCATCATTCCAATTTTATACCTATTTGGAGAAATTCCTTCCCAGTTTTTGTGCAGGTGGGTTACAATTGCTAGCATTTTTCAAAATTCACTTCCTTCTCCAGGGTCTCTGGAAGTGAAATTTCTGTGTAGATGGATTTTAAAAAAACATACCTCATTTTCAGAGCACAAGGTAGGTTAGTGTATATGCACACATGCACATTGTACCTTCCCCATCCCAATACATCTTCCATATAGAGACAGAATATTTTCCTGTGTTCTCATTGGTGGAAGAGAAGGCAAAGGGCCCTTTTGCTGCCTGAGGCAAAGCAGAAGATGACCCCACACCTCCTGCTCAGTCCACATACAGAAGGGAGCTGGACTGACAGTTGACTGTTACTTCAATGTGGGTGACAGGGTAGCATATTCTGTTACGTCCTTGATATCCGGTTAGCTGAAGGTGAGGAGGCAGTCAACCAAAATTCCCTCTAGACCAGTAGCCAACAACTAGAGTCATAGTCCTGTATTTTGCTCTTGGTAGCCAGTAGCCAACAACTTGGTGGAGTCATAGTCCTGTATTTTGCTCTTGGTATCAACCTCAAAGTGTATTCTCGAAGGCTTTCATGGGCAGGAGCCAATGACTGCTGTAGGTTTTTAAGTTTGGCGAAACATTAGGAAGAACAACCTTCAGAACACGGCCAAACAGCCCGAAACAGCAACCATCAACCTCAAAGTGTTGCTCTACTGTAGTTCCCACCTTAATTGTGTGCCATCAATTTAATTCCAACTTTTGATGACATTTTCCGGATTTAATTCCAACTTTTGATGACATTTTCCAGGGTTTTCTAGGCAGAGAATACACACAGGTTGTTTGTCATTCCCTTCTTCTCGGGTTCCCCTGGGACTGTGGAGCTTGCCCAAGGCGACACAGGCTGACTCTACTCACAGGACGCACAATGGGAAGTCAAGCTCCCAACCTCTGGTTCTACAGCCAGATACCTAAACCACTGAGCTATCCAGAAGTTCCCATCATTCCTCATTAATGACTATGTGAACTATGTCTCATACGAGGAGTTGCAATCCAATGACATGTGAAAGATCACATCTTGCTGATCCTTCATTTAGCCAAAAAAATGAAAGTGGGAGTAGCTAGAAGGCCACTTCCACTTATTATTAGTTGAGCTGTTAAATGGTACATGGGGTGGTCAGTGGCTTATATAAAAGGAGGACTGTCACTTTTTGAAATGTTTAAGAGGTGCAAATTTTGCCACACCAGGAAGGGAACAGGAGAGGGCTAGAGGGAGGGGGAGATCACAAAAAGCCTTGGGAAAGAGGCTCCAGCAGCCTGAGGAACCTGATTTTCAGGGTTCCAGAAAATATTTAGTTTTAGATCAGAGCAGAGACTCTGGGGATTGAACCTCAGACCTTTCTGTACACAAAGCATACACTCTGCATGGAGCTATTAGTTGGAAGCAGCCCTCCCAGGATTTAAGTCTTTTCACATATGATGCCAACATTTATGTGGAAAGGTTGCGGATTGGCCCTCAGAGTTTCTGGATGTACCCGACCACTAAGCAACAGCCTCCAAATACAGCAGTGACCTTGGCTTGACTACGGCGAGTAAACAAACAAAAAACCAGAGGCACGCTGCTCCGTGAAAAGTACTAATTGCATGTACTACTCATTTAAACCCATTGACATTGCATCGAGCCCTGTCGTGGACCTCTGTCCATGAGCGTGGGTGTGCATTTGTGTGTGCAAACCTGACAGTTTGAAATGACATTTCAAGCAACCAATGAAGTGTGATGTAGTTCAGGAAAGCACATGCCGCGATTAACATGTTAGCCGTCAGTATGTCATGGGGCAGTACTATATTGACAAAGAGACCCTACTAGTTCTAACGCCTAAGGGGAGGATTTCCCTGCAAGGACAATGTTAGGGCAGGAATGGAGGCTGGGAAGATTTCAGAGGGGATCCAACAGACCAGAGCTTTGCCAGTAGCATTTTTTTAGATATTAAAGGTTCCCCCTCCCATGTCTGTGGCTCCCCAGGCAACCTTAGAAACTGGGACAGCCTTAGAAACTGGGAGTGGGACAGGAAGCTTTAACTTAAATTTTGAAAATTTTTAATTTTAAATTTTACAAAAATTAAAATTTAAAAAAGATTAAGCTCACCAGGCGATGATACCATCACCATTTACATGGCACAGTTGCACTCTCTGGTTTTCAGCCAATAGAAACAGAAGAATTATTTCCACATGAAATCTCTTTCCTTTCTCCTTTACTGCTTCTTGCCCTCTCTAAAAAGCCTGTCATAGAGAGTTCAGGACACACATGACCACAAAGTAGCTCATGGTTGCTATATAGTCAAGGCTGCTACCCTATTTAGTGAAGTAAGGAAACCCTAAAAAGTTCTTCATAGTGTATATCCTAGGATGGTGTATAACACAGCTTAGAACAATGCAATCATCGAAGGTAAAAAAAAGTCAATTAGAAATAATTTAAAAGAATGTAATTAGCACAGCACACAAATAAAACTGCAATTAAAACAGCAAAGGAATAGCTTCACTGCAAGTGATTTAAAATACCGCCCCCTCCAAGCAAAACAGAAAAACAGAATTAAATAGCAATCACGTAAATAGGATTAAAATGCCTTGGAGAAAACATAATGTCTAATATCTAAACAATAAATAAGAGGTCAGTCTCCTTTGGAAGGGTCTTACACATTCAGAGTGCCACTAGTGAGAACGCCCCCTTCTTACTTGCCCATAGCATTCTGCAAAAGGCCTTAGTGAAATATTATTTATTTATTTAACTTGGTTGTTGTGGGTTTTTCGGGCTCTTTGGCCGTGTTCTGAAGGTTGTTCTTCCTAACGTTTCACCAGTCTCTGTGGCCGGCATCTTTAACATCTTACTTTTCTCTCAGAATTAAGACCCAACACACTTTATAGAACAGTTTAAAACCAATTCAGGACCCCCATATGTGTAGGGGAGCAGTTCTAAGCCTCCTCCACCACGGATGCTAAAAAACATGGATTATAGCAAATTTTATTATACTGTAATAGTGTTTATTATACATAGCATGGTCTCTGGCTCCTTCCACCACATATGCTGAAAAACATGGATTATTATAGCAAATTTGATTATAATAGCGTTTACTATACATAGCATGGTCTCTGGCTCCTTCTAGTGGCCAGTTCTGGTAACTTCTTTGATTGAAATATATATTTGGGGATTTTCCTTTTAATATTTTAAATATTTTTAGACTGTGGATAAGTGAATCAGTGGATACTGATCGCACAGATAATGGAATCCTATGGTGCAACAAAATTGCAAACATTACAACAGAACTTAATTCAATTATATAATTAAAGTGCAGTTAAAATTATTTAAAATCGTTCAATTAAAATTTGTAATAATTTACTTTGAAACAATGAAAACATCAACTGAGATCTTACAATCAGAGGTTCTCACCCTTGCTTAAATGAAAAGGTCTTCACATGCTGCCAGGAGGAGAGTAGATCGGGGCAAATCTAGCCCTTTTGGCAAGGAGTTCCACAGCCTGGACATGGCTACTAATAATGCTTTTTCTCAAGATTACAGATATGTTTAGGTATGTTCCATATGGGAGGAAGTGGTATTTAAACTACTTATGCTCCAGAACAGGAAAGTGGCTAAGAATCCAAACAAACTCCTTTCACTGAACTAGAAGGCCACTTCCACTTATTATTAGGTGCGCTGGTAAATGGTATGTGGGGTGGGAACTAACACTAATTAGTAAACATTAATGAGATGTGAAGCTAGCTAGTTGACACAACAGCGGCTGTAGTATGCCAAATGATTGTATATTCAAAACCATCTTCAAGGGCAGCTCAATAATCAATACATTACAGTAGTCTAAACAGGATGTTACCACAGCATAGACCAGCAAGGCCAGACTATTCCTGTTGAAGAGAGGTAAAAGCTGGTATAGGTGTGCAAGTTCATAGAAAATATTTGGTGATACTAAAGACTCCTGAGTCTCCTATGACAAAGCTGGATCAAGATGTGCTGCCAAACTGCAAACCAGACCTTTCAGAGGAACTGCTAACACCACCTGCAAGGATTGAATCCTTTTGTTCCAGATTAGGAGCTAATCCAAGTGCCTCCATTTCATGAGGATCACATTTCAGATTTAGCCCAGTATGGAGTGGGAATGAAGGTTTAATACACTACAGAGTGGAAACGATGGCCCTTCTTTCAGTTCTATCATCTTCACTTGACTTAAACCTGGTGCAGACAGAAGCCCTGTATGATCTGTAATAGGTCACCAAGAATTTCTGGCTCTGTAGTGTTTAACAAGAGATACAATTAGAAAATACCCCTCTCTTGGGGTTTTGAAAAAGAACAGTAGGGAAAATGAGGAGGAGATGTTTGTGCATAAGGATGTGTGAACCTGGTACTGACCACAAATTCCCAAGCTAGGCGGAGACATTCGGTTCCTGAGTTCCTGGTGTACATCCACGTGCCTGAAATACTGCTTTCAAAATGTCACCCGTCAGTGGTGATTCCTAGGGTTCTAAAGCAATACAAAATATCTCTCAGGGACCTGAACTTGGCCATCATTGCTCCATGTCCTCCATTTGGGGACATGGGGGGGGGAAGAGTTGCATGGCATCAGGCATGGATTATGCCTCACTTCGGATCCCCAGATCATCTCATTTGGCAGTATTCAATATGTTAGAAACAGTTTCACCGTCAAAGTGTCTAGGCTCTTCGTGAAGGGATTCTTTGCACCGTCTTTTATGCTACTTTCTGAGGAGGAGAAAATTTGTTCCAGGCGCTGCATTTACAACCAAGCCAGATTTGATTGAATAAATTGCGGGCCTCTCGTGTGGATCAGCAAGAATTTTTGCCCTTATTTTCTTTCCCTCAAAATAAAAATCTGAGAAGAGCCAATTTAAAGCTATAGCCTGTTTAAAGATGATGAAGAAATGGACTGTGCAATGCACGGTTCACAGGCCGCACACACAGAGGGCCCTGAGCCAACGTTGGCAATATTTCCAATGCCCCAAGAATGATTTGTGTGAAAAATTTGGCCATTAAATCTCCACCGTGCAATCTGCCTGTGAAACCCAGTGGTGCAGCTTGCTGCCAAGAAGCACGGCTGCCTGTGGTTTCTTGACCCCAATTAAGCAGAGAAGGTTTCATTTCCATTAAACCAGTATAATTATACTGCTAAGAATCTCACTTCCAGTGGACTGTCTGTCTTTCTTTATATATTTCTCTATGGTTCAGGACTGTTGACCCATCAAAGAACCACAGAGCTGCACTTTTGTGCTGGTGCTGCTAAACTGCAATCCGTAAAGCCTTGGTAAAGCACAACTAATATAATAATGCATAAAGTAACTGATTGCTGAATTGTGTGTGTTTTTTTAATGAAAACAATTATATTTACAGAATGACTATTGGTTATACAGAACGAATAATATTTACTGAAATAATTTTTTTTCCAAAATTGCACATTGTCAAATCTCAATTAATTAGCCCACTAATTAGCCACTCTGGCCAAGCCCCCATTCCCTTTGGCCACGGGCCCTGTTGAGTGCCCCTTCACCAGACAGTCGGCCTGTTTGAAAGACGGGCCCCTTTTCTCTGCTAAAGTTGCTTGTTCGAGGCCTGCAGCAACACACTTGTCAACAGAAAAACTGAAATGAACCGCCTGAGGTAAACACCGGGTTGATTTAATTAAAGGATATCCACACATGAAAGGTGTTATATTTTAACTGTTATTTTCTAGTTAAAAATAGGCAGCAATGGAGGTTGCCAGAACAATTATCCTGATTAGCACAGCATCTGCACATTTAAATTACTCATAGACGGGGACGTACGTAAACCATTGGCTCTGTTTCTGTTCTTTTGTAATTAACACATCACTGAGTTTTCCTCCTTTGCCACTGGGGACAATTTCATCCTGTTTGCGATATACATTTCACCCTGACATATCCTATGGATATGCTTGCACAGGCTAATACAACTACTTTGAAAACTTTTTATGTGCTCACTGCAAATATAAAGAAGAAAAACAGAGTATTCACTGAATAACATAATTTCTGTAACATGAACACTCCTTTCTTTTCATGGTCATTTAAGAGCATGTTATCAGGGCATCTGATATATGAGTTGAATATGTTATCTCCCTAAGTAATAGCCCAGCCCTATGTCATGTTGTATCATAGCCCTGTGCATATTACCAAATATTGGAGTGAATCCAGACACAGAGCAGAACTACTATAGTTAGTGAAACTTCTGTCATTCCTAATGTATATTTCCTTGATTCCAGTGCAGTATGCTGTGGCATAATTGCTATGCAGGAGATGGAGGAGAACTTTGCACATGGCAGACTGCTGCCTTTGCCCAACAGCCCTTCAGAGCAGGCCTTCAGGGAGGTCTAGTCTGTAGATCACCTACAAATTAGCCTCAAATGCATAGGATGGCGGAAGGCCACACTGATATACAGTGGTGCCTCGTTTAACGAGTGCCCCATTTAACGATGAATCCGCATAATGATTTATCTTTTGCGATCGCAAAAGCGATCGCATTACGATGTTTTAAATAGGGGGAAATCGCTTTGCGATGATTGTGGGGAAGCGCTTCCCCACGATCATCACAAAGCCCCCACCGATCAGCTGTGTTTCAGGGGGTGGAGAGAGCGAGCCCCGAAGAACAGCTGATGGGCGGGGTTTTTTTGCAAAGCTGGCTTTTGAGCCAGCTTCGCAAAACCCTCCTGGCCGCCCATCA